GGTAATGGAAATAGGCCAAGTTCCAATATCTTTGTAATCGCTGATAGATCCATCCTGAATGTCAAGAGTATCGATCACTTCATAGCTTTCGTCTTCCACCAACAGTTTCAATTGTTCACCTACTACCGCTGGTTCATTAGGCAAATCTTCAAATTCGGTAAGTCCGCCACTAGAAGACGAAACAGCTTTTTGATTTGGAGTGGCACTAGTACTAGCTTCTCTATCAACTTCAGATTCAGCTGTTTCGGTAGTCGAGTCAAAATACTTGAGTAAAGATCCCTTTTTTTTCTTATTTTCTTCCTCTCGGGCTTTTTTTTGCTTCCTGTAAAAATCACCGCTAGGCTTATGCCTCTTCATGATCTGAAAGTAACATTGATTTAGCTCGTAAGTTTTTAGGCCAATATAGGGGCAGCAAAATTTGAACCTATAGGCAGGTAAGTAATGGCACGGGAAGGGGTATTAACTAATCAGTTATAAAATTATTATTTTTTTTAACTATCAATATTTCGTGCTAAAACAGGTAATCTATTTATATTATTTTACATGAACTCGATCACTAAAATTTAAATACGTAATGCAACGAAACATTGGCTTTCGAAAAAGCGCGCATAATCTCCCAATCTCCTGCGTTCACATATAATGTGTTATATTTTCCGTGAGATCTACGATAAAAAGCATACTAAAACTTACTTACTGTTAAAACGGCAGCTTAGCGGGATACAAAACCGCGAAATACTGTTACGAATTCCCCAAAAATTCACTGGCACTGTCAATTCGACACTCAAGTCGCTTTGTTTTTTGTTAATTGAACAAAATGAAGTCAAGGGAAGGGCGCGCGGCGACGCGACGCGTGGGTGCTCCTAGAATACGTGTGGGACAGAGACAGGCAATATGCGCGCGCAAGACGGGGCGAATAAGTTACTGGTATTGGGAGGAAGGTACCAGGGTTGCCAGATGTGGTGATTTTTCACCAGATCTGGTAGTTTTTCATATGCTCGACAAAATATTTTTTCCTCATGTAGCACGGATCGGCGGCGGTTCCCTCTCAAACGGAGTCTACAGCAGGCTCGTACCACGTGAAGGGTACAAAAAGGGTCAATTTTGCCGCCCTACTATTGGTGGCGCCCGGGGCGGTCCGCCCCCCCGCCCCCCTCCTCGCTACGCCACTGTTAAGCAGAAGCTCGCTGGCGTCTCTCTGTCTATGCTTTGTGTCTCTCTGAGCAGCGAGCAAAATGTCGAGCTCCTCAGATGAAGATATCTTTCTATTAGAAAATGTGTTTCTCAAAATGCGCAAACAAAGTGTACACCCCATAAATAGAAAAAGAAAAATTTACGGAGAATATCATCATTTATTTCAAGACATTAAAGCAGACAAACAAAGATTTTATAGATATACAAGAATGACTCCAGAAACATTTTACTACATTTTGGATAAAGTAGAACATCGATTGATAAAAAACTGGTGTAATTGGCATCAACAACCTATTCTCCCAGAAGAAAGACTTGTTGTTACCATTCGGTACGTATCAAACATTTTTAATTTAATTATCAGGGTATTCTGATAGGCCCTCAGCGAAAGACTGTAAATATGTGCTTATTGGCGTATGGAATGCTTTTGATACAGATTGAGTTGCGTGTGATTCTGGTGTGATTGGCGGTGAGTAGAATGATTGTGCTTCCGGTTGAGTTGCTTGTAATTCTGGTGTATGGCGTGGGATTGGTGTTGCTGTTGCTGTGCTGCTGATTGGGTTGTGTATGGTTCTGGTGTCTGACGTGTAGACTGAATTGCATGTGGTTCCGTAGAGCAGCTAGAGAGAGTTGAAGGTGAGAGTCGCGGGAACTGGGACTGGTATGCATAAATGTCAACTGTTCTTTGAATATCATTTCTAAACGAAAGCAACCGCTCTTGTGGAATTTTACGAATATGAGGCAAAAGAATTTTCAGAAACAGTAGATGTTCATCGTCTTCAAGTTTTCTCGCTTTTTGTTCCAGGTATTCCAACTTTTTTCTTTCAATATCTAGCATACTTTGATTGAATGGGTTGGTTGTTTTTGTTTTGTTACGTGGAACTGAATTGGTGTCATTACTGCTTTCTTCTAGTGCATGATGTGTACTCGTATCATTGTCTTTACTGTCGTCGGAATTATTAGTCTGTTCTACAGATCTGCTAGATGAAGCACGTTTCAACGATTTGGTTAAATTTCCTGAAGAATTTCTTGCTTTGACAATATCTTTCAGGAACATTAGGGAATAATAATATGGCCATTTCGGCTCATACGAAGTCGAAGCTTCATCTCCAGATCGAGGAGCAGGAACTTTCCCATATTCAGTCGCGAACTGATCCCTTAAATATTTCCATTTCTTCCTCAGTTTGTTTTCTGGAAAAAAACAGTCGTATTATTTCTTACAGGTATCTGGCAACAGGGGCAACATTTGCACATTTGGCTTCTGAATTTAGAATGGGTCTTTCCACAATAAAGGATATTATAGAAGAAACAACGAATGTATTGTGGGATGAATTACATCCAGTACACATGCCCATACCTACAAAGGAGGCTTTTCGTGCAATAGCAAATGACTTCAACAATATTTGGAATTTTCCAAATGTTTTAGGGGCAATCGACGGAAAGCATGTGCGCATACTCTGTCCAGATGGATCAGGGTCCATGTTTTACGCAACTTTAATAAACGTCTATCAAGAGCTAGAAAAACTATAGAGTGTGCGTTTGGTATAGTAAATTCGAAATGGCGATTGCTTTCCAAATGTATTGAAACCAATATTGATGTAGCTGACCAAATCGTTAAGTGTATATGTGTTTTACATAACACTATCATTGATAAAGAAGGTATCAACCGTAACTTAACTCCTGTTCATTTAGTACGAAGAAGGTGGAATAACTCAGGGCACGACTCAAATGAGGCAATGGATATCAGAAATATTTACGTCAATTATTTTTTACATAACTCACTAGCTTACAATAATTAAGTGTTTATTGTTAATAAATTCAATAAGTAAATAAACTCACCGTCTACATCCATCTCGGCACTTATTTCCCTCCAGCATTTATCCACCACGTATCTGTTTGAATGCCTTTTGTCTCTTTTATCCCAAACAGGTGGTTTACTAAAAACTAACGAAATCAGTATATCAATATCCATATTATTAAACGCGGTGTTGTTCCCTTGAAAATTAAGCCGCAAATGGCAGTTTACCAGCGCTTATCGGCGCAGGTCGGAACCGGTCAAAACTTGTCAGCGCCGTTCGGCGCTTATCGGCGCTGTTTCGACACAAAGTATAGAAACTGCCTGCGCCGGCTGCCTGCGCGCACCGGTTCCGATAAGCGCTGCTAGATCGGCGCCGGTAACCAGCTTTCTATGTGCATACGCCCTAACTCTGTAAAGCCGCTTGTTGTAGCCAAGTTTGGGATTAGGCCTTCATTTCCTATAAATGTAAATGTTTGCTGATTACTTCCAGTAACTTCTCTCCATTCAGAATTTACAGTCGCATTGTTAACAGGATTATCATTACGAGTACCATCTAGCGAAAGGTTTCCTTCGAAAGATATCGCTTCTGAAGAGCTGGAAGAACTGTACTGAAAGTCCGGATCTCTGACGCTATCATCACTGTCCTCGGCGACTTCGTTGCTTTCCGAACTCTCTGACTGCGACTCGGCGAAAATTTTTTCTAATTCCTTGTCACTCAACGGCCTTTTATTCGATTCCATGTTTATTGGAACTCCTAATGCAAAAAATGCCGTCTTAGCAAATGATGAAATCGATAAAAATTGCTTACTTAACCGCATAAGTTCCTCTTTGTAGAAGAACAATGAACTAAATACTTGTATTAATTCTAAAATTTCTAAACCGCATGGGAACTTGTCCAAACAAGCTGCCGCTGACGCTTTGGTAACCGTACTGTCGCTACCGCCGCTCGCTCCTATAAATCCTATGCGTTTCATGCTTTGTAGGGGGGATAATGCATGTTCGCCGGCGGTATAAATGGCAAATATTAAATACCAACTTTACATGTACGCCACCTGCATAGCCGGCTACCAACAAAAAATAATTACTAAATCGTTCAGCCAATCAAAAATATGTTATGTAGGGCTTAGTTTGAGGACGATAGCTTGATGTATAATCAACAAAACAACAAAGACATTTTCCTAATACGCCGTATATTTTGTTTGGCGCTTCAGGTAATATGACAGTTGACAGCGGGCGGTGCAGGTGGCAGTTAACGTGTTAATATAGGATTCAATATCTTCTATTTCATACGCATCCGTAGGAATGACGATATTCTTTTCTCGATTTTTGTTGTTCTCGTAATAATAGAATTTATTGTGTCCCTCGTCAATATTAGGTACACTATTATAGGAATAAAAAGACAATAAACTCAAACCGTAATCGAACCCATCCTCTAATCTAATCGGATTCACAAAATCAATGGACAACGTTGACGTATGACTCTTCAAGGTGAATATCTGAGACATGACTGAGAGAGGGTACGGTGGGTCAGTTAGTTTTATAGAGAAATTCCAAACAAAGGTGACCGCAGATGCTTTGATCATAATTTTGATAACAGTCATTATTGTAGACGATAGCAGCATTTAAATATTTAACGAGTTCACGTGGAGGTTTAAGATTACCAAAACTATCAAAATACTCAGCTACATTACCATTTTTTCTGTATGCTACCCAATGCGTTCCTTTGTTCTTTTGTTCATCCAAATTAATTATAACACATTCGTTTGTTCTAGCACCACCTTTAGGTATAGTATCTCGCATAAATACACCGCGAAAATGTGCTATTTTAAGCTTTTTGACAAATTTCCGTAAGTCCACATCATATAGAGCTCTATCGGGTAGCTTTATTGGTAGTTTTTTGGATGTTGTTGCTTTTTTAAAAATAAACCGAGACCGCCTCGAGCATTTTTGCGTAAGAACAGACCGGATTCTTGTTTTCCAATTTCTTCCATTGCTTTGTTATGTCGTTGATCTTCTTCAAGCTTTCGTTTAGCATTTCTGGAGTCGATTACAGTTTTGGCGACTGCACTATCACCTCCCGCAATACTTCCCAATGCGCTGAGTCCTGCAAACAACGGCAACAGCGGCAAAAATATTCCACTTTTTGCTTCAAACGGTATCACTCGCGGAACTCGAATATTTTTCCGTCCTCCAGCTTTCTTTATTGCCATCCGTGTGGCTCTCAGTGCTATCGTGGACGACTTGATTAGCTCTTTTTTGTTAGTCAAATCCGCCGCCGCCGCTGATGGGTTGTGTTTCTTTAAATGTCTGGAAATTTTCTTAACAACATCTCTTCTAAATGAAGCCGATTTCATGCCCATCCCAAGTTTACGTTTCACCTTCATTGCGTTAGTAACAAACCACGAAGCAGCTTTTTCACCAAAATTTGCGTCTTTCGACCTTACTCTATTCCAAGCCTGTTGTTCCAAAATTTCATCAGCCTTATGACGATCGGTTATAGATGAAGATTTCGAATAAGCTATATCGTGTTGTTTGCAAGCAGCGTCTAAACCGTTGATTCCAGGATCACTTCGTCTAAGCCGTTTTTGCAGATAAGTTTCAGGACCGCAATATTGGTACTTAGGTAGATGAAGCTAAATGGGAAGCCGATCGATTAGCGAGTTCAGAACACCTTCTCTTCCTCCTCGCTTGGATGCTAACATAATAACGCACATTTTGTGATTATATTTATAATGATCTGCAACACCTTTAAGTGTGTCACTCAATATCGAAATGCGTATTCAGCAACAAGCAACTGCACTACCTATCGAAAATTTAGATTTTGCTGAAGCTAACAACCTTCCGAGCAAACATGGAAAATTATTACCGAATTCATTCAGAGTTATATTTTGTAGACCTAGTGGATGTGGCAAAACAAACGCAGCATTGAGTTTGCTGTTCAATCGTAACGGTGCACGTTTTCAAAATATCTTTGTCTACTCTAAAACATTGCTACAGCCCAAATATACTTTACTACAAAACGTTTTAGCGAAGACAAAATGCGTTAAATATTTCCCATATAAAGATAACAAAAAAATTATCGATCCATTAGAAGCACCGAATAACTCTATATTTATTTTTGATGATATTGCATGCCAAAAACAGCAAAAATGTAGGGAATATTTTTCAGTGGGTAGACATAAATCCGTGGATGTTATGTACCTATGTCAAACGTATTCTAAAATACCGAAACAGCTTATACGTGATAACTGTAAATGTTATAGTTCTTTTCAAACAGGATGACAAGAATTTACGGTATGCATTTCATGAACATGTTTCACCGCATCTTACCTACGAACAATTTAAGGAAATGTGTTCGCGATGCTGGCGTGAAAAATATGGTATTATAACGATAGTTAAAGATTTTGAATTGAAATATGGACGATATCGTAAGGGTTTCGATAAGTATATATGGGTATGATATTTCTCTCTGAACATCAGTTTTGCATGAGATGAAGAACGCAAAGCACAGTAGTCTCTTGCAGAGAAAAATTCAACAACTGTCTAGAGATGTTAGACGAAAGTATTTAGCTTTGAAAACTGATAAGTCTGACGAGGATGAAAATATTGAGAAACTCTTTCGACCAATAACCGAACCGCTTCGGCAAATAGCAAACAAGAAAAACGATGATTTGAGTATAATTAAAAAGGAAGAAACGAGTGATAAAGAAGAAGAGCAAATTAAGATGGCTGATGATGATGATGATGATGATGGTAATGATAATGATACGTATTTCGAACCTGAAGATACACCCTTTATGTCACAGTATCCAGAAATAGCTCGGGAGCCAGTGCAGAAGTTTTGGAGTAAATCTAATACAATTGATCTAGTATATGGACCAACTTATGATTCTGTAGCATCTCAGTGGCGTATCGGAAGTAAACAGATGAATTTTGATACACATACGGGTGATATAATTATAGATGGTAACCGATTTCGTGGAACACAAGGACTTTATAGTCTAATTTTCTACAAAAACCCTAAATATGATCAAAATGATTTATCAGACTACAAAAAGATTTTAAATATATCTAATGTACACAAAGATAGCCGTCAACGTTTAAAAGGATCTACTATGTTCAAATATATCAATATAATTAAACCATTATGCACAACAATAGGGTCTCAAAAAGCTCGGTCGTCGTCGGCGTTGTCGTCGTCACAGCATACCGGACAAGGTATGTATTTGACGACAAACCCATAGAGTATGTATATTTTGATGACGTTAATGAACTTGTAGATAGATTAAAATTATTAATTGCTTCGCAAAGCGCTGGTAATAGATCGCATAATAATGAAATTGTTGCCATTATAAATGAACTGAAAGAAGCTGGTATTATAAAGGAGCGTGTATACATATATCCGATGACAGTATCACGATGAGCATCAACAACTTTGGTCACATCATTTCATACAACGTCGACAACAACCTCAGTTACCTTTCGAAATAAATGCAGAAGGAGAAGTCAGCTTTGAAACTTTGTAGTTCTATAGTGCCAATAAATGGGAAAGATATAGTAAATAAACAATATGTAGATGGAGAAATTAGATCTTGTAACAGTTATGTAGATAATGCGCGTATCAAAGTGATCAAATATGTAGATGAAGAAATGGGATCTTGTAAGCGTTATGTAGATAATGCTTTTATCGGAGAGAACAAAAGACGTAAAATTGATAACCAAAATAATATTGAGACATCAAAAGCGCTAAAAGATCAAATTGATATTTTAAAAAGTGTTATTACTGAACAGGAACTTAACGCCTTCACCTCCGGCATCTCTACTAATACGAGCCTTGTGTGCCGCGTGTATTTTCAAAAGTTATTTCAACAAATCTTTCATAAAGTAGTCTAGGTTGTCTGTTTAGAAGATTAATGCACCTTAAAGACAAACACGTCATACAAATTGAAAAAAACGCGCTACGCGCGTTGGCGGCATACGGCTATACCCGCATGCTATATGCCGCCAACGCGCGTCGCGCGTTTCACTTTGAATTGTGATTTTAGTTTTTTATTGCAATGTTAATCACATCTGAAATACAAAAAATTTTACATTATCAAACAAAATTTACATAAGACACAAAAATACAAATAATAAACAAAAGTGAAACCTGTATTACTAAGACAAGTTACTGTCATGAAATTCCTGACGTTTTATTGTAATTTTTACTTTTTGTACAGAGATAAAACATAATATACTAATATACAAAAAATAAAAGACAAAAGTGGAAACAGTATTTCGAAAACTTGTCACATTCATGAAAATTCTTCACGTTTATCTGAAATTGTAATTTTTTTATTGAAAAACAGTAACATGATACAAAATAAAGTTACTAAATGAAACAAAATTCCAAAGAACAAGCAGAAGTCAAGACTTTCATGAAACTACATACGTTCATGGAAATTTCGGAAACAAGGTGTGAGACAAAGTCCAGGTTCGTTCGGACATTGTGGACAGAAATATGTAGAATCCTTCCGTAATTTTTTCACTTCCCAACAATATTTACATCTGCGCCTTTTCGCTTTTCCTTTCAAATCTTTTGAGCAATATTCTGGGAGATGAGAAATCATTGTAGGTCGTTGTGCTTTTGGAGCAGGTGGCAGCAAGAATTCCATAATAGCTAATCTGAAATCGTAAAAACTTGCTTTCCGGTCGGCAAATTTTTTGAATAAATAGTAAGAGTTTACAAGCATAGTTTGGAAAATGTGGATCCCCAACTTCTTGTACCAACGAAGTGTTTTGCGTTCACAAGAATAATAACTTTGCATCTGGTCATTTTGGTCAATACCACCCATATATTTATTGTACTCAGCTACCAGTTTTGGTTTTCTTTTGTCTATTCCTCTTTTGGAAATCACATTGACCATTTCACTATCAAATTCCGTAGAAATAGTGAGAACATCACGCTTGTCCTTCCATTTACTGACGCAGAGTCCATCGTTTGTATATTGAGAAATACATTCTCCTTTTTTTAACCTTTTAGAAATAACTTCTTCTGGATTTCCAACTTTATTTGTTCTAAGTGTGCCTGTGGTGTATGTTTTCTCCTGAAGTAATTTTTCCGATAATGCGACACTATTATAAAAACTATCCATATAAACCGAATGTCCTACACCTTTTTTGTCTTCTAATAGACTATGGACAACTTTTTCTGTATGTTTGTTACCACCTAGGTTTGGATCTGCAGATCCTCCGTAAACGAGAATTTTTTGAACTAATCCATTAGATTCTGCAAGGACGTATAATTTAATCCCAAATTTATGTCGTTTCCCTTGAACGTATTGCCGAAACCTCAGCCTTCCCCTCCACAGAACCATGGATTCATCAATAGCTAGTTCCCTACCAGGATAGTAGAGCTCAGACATTTTAGAGTTGAAAAAATTCATTAGTGGAGATATTTTAGATAATCTGTTTTGTTCAGGGGCCGAATTATCATTAAAATGTAATGCTCGTAAAATGAGCAGAAAACGATTTCGGCTCATGTTGTTAGAAAAAGCAGGTAAATTGAAAAGGTAATGGGTTTTCCAATAATCGTTAATACGATTCATTTTTATAGTACCCATGTGGAAAAGAAGGCCGAGAAATATTTTTAATTCTTCCTTGGTAACATCTTTCCAACTTGTTATTCTGCTTTTATCTGAAACCGTGGTTGCAAGTATCTCAATAGCGTAATTGTTGGTATTTGTAATTATAAGGTCAAAGAATTCATCAGTGAAAAACAAATTGAAGTAGTCGATTGGTCGATTACCATCTATATTTACTTTTAGTCTGCATACTCTTGTAAATGGTATTATGTCTTGATCTGGACGATCCGCTAGCCATACCCTGAGAGGTACTTGAGATGTTCCAGTTGCAGATTGAAGCACAACCCCTTCATCGCTATCGCTTCCAGCGTCATCACTGTTTGACATTTCCAACTCCATCTCTTCGTCCGATTCATCTGATGACCCTTCTAAGATATTCAGTAACTCCTCGTTGGTTAACTGACGTTTGCTTTCATATCTGCCTCTTTTTGCCGATGTTGATGGCTGCATATCGCTGTCCTCCATTATGTATGTACTGTATGTACTGAAATAGAAAAGAATATTTTATGTACCGCTTCCGCGATCAATAGCCAACAGCACACAGTACTGTTTCGCCCTTTCGAAACGGGTTTGTCACCTGGAGAATACTTTAGATTAAAATAGAAATAAAACTTACCTTGTAAAAAAACGTTATTCCATGTAATCAATAATACAACTTACAATCGATTTGAAAGCACATAAATTAATGGCAACAACATTCAAATAAGAAACCGCCACGTATTTATAATTTTTCAAAGTGTTTGTTATGTGCCGCCAAACAATAAACAGTCTACTCGTCGTACCGGCAGAATAAGAACTGTTTTAGTGGATATACACACAAAACGCGCTAGGAGCGTTGGTGGCACCGAACGTAAACAAGTCTGAACGCGCCTGGCGCGTTGGCGGCGTTGAATGAGTTAAGCAAATTGGTCACGATAAAATTTCAAATAAACAAGGCCGAAGTCTTGCTGATTTAGATAAACAATTATATATCTTGAATCAAAACCAAAGAACCCAGTAGAAAAAATGAACAACAACATTAATCCGAAGCAGCTTGTATATATCAATGACTTAAATAAAATGAAGGAAAAGTTAAGCTCAGATATGAAAATTGTTATCGGTGACGAAGCAAACAAGGTACTGAGGGAATTTGCTCTCAAATTTAAATCAATCGAAGATGGAATTATGAATTTTTTAGAAAACCCCCCCTCCCCAAATACCATAAAGAAATAATTAAAGTTATAGCGATATAATGAACAGTTACTTTTTAACCATGAAGCATAGTGCAGAAAAAGTTCAGCTCGTGAAAGAATTACACAAACCGCTAAGAAGGAATTTCAAAAGACGTCGGACCATCGTTCTAGGCTTAAATGATTTATATCAATCCGATTTATGTCAACTTGATCAGAATGCCAAATATAATAAGAATTTCAAGTTTATCCTAGTAGTCATAAATTGCTACTCAAAATTTCTATGGTGCAGACCGCTGAAAACAAAATCTGGTGAAGAAGTCACTAAAGCTTTTGCTGATATACTTAAAGCTATAAGTCCGACGCCGAAAAACTTACAGACAGATCAGGGGAAAGAATACTATAGTGTACATTTTAAGCATTTGATGAAAACTCATAATATAAATCACTATAGTACATTTACTCATATCAAAGCTGCTATGGCTGAACGTGTAGTGAGAACATTGAAAGAAAAGTTATTTAAATATTTCAGCTTGAATGGTACCTATAGATGGGTAGACATTTTACCAGATATCGTTAAGGCTTATAACAACCAAAAACATCATACTATTAGAATGAAGCCAGTCGATGTTAAAAAGAATACGAAAATTTCAGCTTTTGACCATATAAAAATAGCTACTGACCTGCGTAAATTTAAAGTTGGTGATTTCGTGAGAATAAGCAAAGCTAAACATGTATTTGAAAAAGGATACACACCTAACTGGACAACCGAGCTATTTAAAGTTGCAAAAGTACAAATAACCAATCCAGTTACATATTTATTGAATGATTTGGATGATAATCCAATTATGGGTTGTTTCTATACGGAAGAATTACAAAAAGCGAAAAACCCAGACGTATATTTGGTTGAGAAAATTTTAAAACGAAAGGGAAATAAGGTATATGTAAAATGGCTTGGTTTTGATGCAACACATAATAGCTGGATTGATTCAAAAAATCGATTATAATTTTCCCCCACCATCTTCCCCCACCACCAGCACCACCACTATCACCAGTCCATAATAGAATACAATTGGAAAAATGTATAATAGTTGAGTGAAGACGTTTGAGTGTACCATGTCTGAGCCGCCACGTCTATCCAAGAAGAAGAAGAAGAAGAAGAAACATTTTATGGTGCTGAATTAGACCGTGTGTTAAGAATGTACGAAAATGCAATTCAGATGGAACGTTACTACATTTGTAATACGACACTGAAATGTGGACAACTATATCAAGTCGACTGCGGTCTGAGTTCTGCAAGAAACTTTGAACCCTCCGTGAAAATTGAATACAAACCTGACGATACTGGAAATGTTCACATATCATTTAGCACCTTTGAATGGCCGATTTTCGTGAATCACTTGAAACGGTTCAGGTTTGAAACGTTGGAGGCAGCTGCAGCAGCAGCACCGACATCAAAACTTACCTGTGGTGAAAATATTGAAATCTCTGGACTTGTATGTGATGGAATCAAGTTTGTTACAGTGTCCACTGGTCATGGTACTTTTTACTTTACACAACAAGAAGTGCAAGAATTAGTGAGAATCGACTCGATTGTTAGTTTTACAATTGAAATGTTAAGTGCTATCAATTTTTTAAACTATTATCATAATGTTCTAGATACTACAGGGTCCGCCAAAGGAACCTGATGAGTTTCAATATGAAACTACAAATGTATCTTTCAGGATATTTATTTTCATATATAAGTAATCGAAAGTGTATTACATGCCATTTTATGTATGGAAAATAACTTCGGTCAAATGATGTCCTTCACTGCGGACACACTCTTCCAAACGGTTTCGCACATTCCCCACTACGCGCTGTAATGGGGAATGTGCTGAAACCATACAGTATTTAAATCTATGTTCCGTCGACGAAGCTCTGGTTCCAAAAATGTGTTTAACATTTCCAGATAACGTTGCGAATTGACCGTGACAGAATTTCCAGCATCGTCCTCAAAAAAATAGGGTCCAATTATGCCGAATCGCGACACTCCGCACCAAACAGTAACCTTGCGACTATGAAGGGGTCGCTGGTGAAGTTCTCTCGGGTTTTCTGCACACCAGTAGCGAAAATTCTGCTTATTTACGTAGCCTGATAACTCGAAATGCGCATCATCAGACATAATTAAGCCACCTAAAGCGTTTTCATCCAAAAGTTCCAGAAGCTGGTTGCTTGCAGTCAAACGGTTCACAAAGTCTTCAGCTGTCAGTTCTTGAACCATCGCTAATTTGTAAGGGTGATAATGTAAATCTTTATGCAAAATACGCCGCACTGTTGTATCTGAAAGCCTTAGCCCGCTTTTATGCACGCGTTTTTTGTCGCCTGTCGCGTGGCGACAAAAAACGCGGCGTTTATAGATGAAACAAAATGGAACTTTTGTCTAAAGTAAGCCACACACTGTGAGACTTGCCTCGAGGTACGTCGCGAGGCGAGGTCTCATGATATCGGCAGACGTCAGTCCCCAGTCACTCGTCACCCCACACCTTGAGACAGTATCGCAGACGGTATCACACAGTTCGCTATTTTTTTGAGAGTGAATATAAAATGGCCTTTCATGAATATTCAAAAAAACAAAAAGTTGCACTTGGTGTTGCCATTGGTTTGGTACTATTCGAGGAAAAACAGGAAAAAAGAAAATGGTCAAAGAATTGGTTTCTTGAAAGGAAGAAGTTCTCTCACATGCCACTTTTAAAAGAATTGCAGCAAAAAGAACCCAAAGATTTTTTGAACTATTTGCGTATGAACGAAAAACAATTTAATTTTCTTTTAAATTTAATCCGGCCAGACATTGAAAAGAAAAATACTGTATTAAGAGAAGCGGTATCAGCTGAAGAGCGATTGGTCGTTACTCTTAGATATTTAGCTACTGGTCGAAATTATGAAGATCTGAAATTTTCCTGTGCTATTTCTCCACAGTTACTGGGTGAAATTATTCCAGAAACTTGCTGGGCAATATACAACGCTTTAAAGGAAAAGTATTTGAAGGTACGTTTTTATAATATACTTTTTATTATTTTAAATGCAAAACATATTAAACATTAAACTTAGCTAATGCTGTCAAAAAATACTTATAATTCAGTAAACGAGTAGTAATACAGTTAACGTAATATTCCAGTGGCAGAACTAGTCTTGGAAGTTTTCATAATATGAATAAATATCTCCCTGTGCAGTTGGTTGTTGAGGTTGCTGCTCAGATTGCTGTACTGTATAAGCTATATTGGAAAAAGTATTACTCGGTTCCACATGGGTGCGGGCCTGTCGTACTTCAAAGTTTTCATTTAACTTATTCAGTTTGCCGTAGTACATTACATCATTTATAAGCTTTTCTGCAATTACTCTCTGATTAGATGTCATTTGCTTTAAATCAGAAGCAAATTTTTTTCCTGCTATGTCGCAGGGATTTTCAGGTTCCGCACATGTAGGGGGTTTAGACAAAGCCCTATGAGCTAGTTCCACAAGTTCATTTTTTTTCTCCTCCATTCCTTTTTTTCTTTTTAATATTTTAGTTCCTAGTGTTGGAGTTGATGTTGAAGCCGATGAACTTGGCCTAGTAGTACTTGGTAAAGATTCCGAGTGAGCAGGAGGAGAAAAAGCGTTATCATAACTGTCCTCATCTCGAACATTGTCTTGATTCTAAAACAAATAATTATTATTAATTCAAACAATTTAATACTACTTTTTTATTACAGTTTCCATCTTCCGAGGAAGAATGGCGCGGGGTTGCAAAGGAGTTCGAATGTTTGTGGCAATTTCCCAATTGCGTGGGTGCGATCGATGGAAAACACATACAAATAAAAAAACCTAGAAACAGTGGTTCATATTATTATAATTATAAAGGAAACTTTAGTGTTGTGCTAATGGCAATTGCAAATGCAAAATACGAATTTATAATGGTTCATTGTGGGACCAATGGTAGGGTATCAGATGGTGGAGTTTTGAGTGAAACCAAGTTTTATGAAAAGCTTATAAATAAAAAATTATGTATGCCCGATCCGACAGAACCCCATGCAACCAATGTGATGTTACCATATACATTTGTTGGAGATCAGGCTTTTCCATTAACTGAAAATTTAATGAAACCATATCCAGACAAAAATTTAACAAGAGAACAAAAAATGTTTAACTACCGACTCAGTAGAGCACGCAGAGTATCAGAAAATGCATTTGGTATTATGGCCTCACGATTTAGAATTTTTCACACAATAATTAGCATAAATGTAAGACATGTGGATGCTGTAGTATTAGCCAGTTGTGCATTACACAACTTTTTAACACGAAATGGCTCAAATCGATATATACCGCCATTGTATGCAGACTCTGAAGACGTACATTCCGGAGAAATAATACCTGGCCAGTGGAGAGAAATAGGAGAACTTATACCTCTGCAACGAATAGCGCGTGCTTCAAATGTGTCTGCGAGAGAAATTCGAGATAATTTTAAAAATTATTTCAATAACAGCGGAGCAACCGATTTTCAGGACAGGATGGTCGTTTAAAGAGTATTAAGTTTTTATACTGAAATGTCTTAAATAAAATAATAAACTACTTACTGTTATTTCACTCTCTTGACTTTCGTCTTCGCTAGTAATAGTTTCAATTCCTTTTCTAGGGATTTCAGTGTCCGAAATAAAACTTAACAGGTCAAAATACCAAAGGCTGGGTACATATACATCATCAGCTTGTGTACCCGTAGGCTTCGACTTCTGTACTTTTTTCAGCTCTCTTCTAAAAGCACAGCGCATGTTATGTATTTTTTTTGAGACATAATCTCTATTTGCCATTGGATATATTTCTTTGCATTTTTCCACCAGTCTATCTAACGCTGAGTTTTTCAAATTTCTATCCATATACGTTTTAGCTTTCACATCCCATAAACATGGGTTGCTCCTGTACATTTCAATAAATTCTTCCCAAAATTCTCTTTCCTTATTCATCTTCTTTATTACATATAATAATTATAACAATTTCGGAACAACGAAATCTCACGAGATTCATGCGACTTTGGCACACACGTTGAGACTGGTCAGATTTTTCCTCGCGGCAAGTCTCAGTCTCCCGCCCGCGTCGGTCTCGTTGAGACGGTATCACACGATACAAAAATTATCGATACCGCAACACACACCATGAGATTTGTTATCAGAGATCTTGGTCTCGCGGCATGTCGCGAGGAAGATCTCACAATGTGTGGGCTACTTAACGTTGTTTGTGGCGTGTCGCTTTCAGATAGATCAGTGGCCATCGTATCGTCTAAACAAGGAAGTGTGGTGCATTGATAAATAATGGATCCGTGTGTTGTATACTTGGCATACAAATATATAATCAAAAAGAGACGCAAGAGACGTTGGAGCGTTCACCCAATAAATAGTGCAAGAAATCTCAGAGGCACATATTATACACTACACAAAGAACTAAGACGAGACAATGACAAATTCTTTAATTATTACCGTATGTCGATAGCTTCCTTTGATGAGCTATGTGAAAAGTTAAAAAACACTTTCAATAAAGATAGGGAGCTGATTCAAGGATTTGCATTCGAAGCAGAAGAAATGTTATCAATGACGTTGAGGTAAGTTTATGAGAAAGTTGAAGAAATAAACCATTTATTCAGGAAATAAGAGTAAAACATCAAACACTATAACAAAACAGTTCATACATATTATTGATTTGATAACAGTGATATTAGTGATTCGGCTTGTGAAATTATTGAATTTTCCGATTCCGTCGGAGAAAATGGCGTTTGTGGTGACGTCACAGCAAGTGATTCAGTAGTATCAGTATTAGGATGAGGCAAATGAGGTGTGATCTCAGATGATACTGTAGAATATGATGCGAATGGAGGTGCTGGCGTATTAAAACGTATATTAGAGATGTTGGTCATTACTGGATATTGCTGTGGTTGGTAATGGGGTATATGATTTGGAAAATTGTGTATATACTGATTTGGTTGTTTGTTAGTATATCGGCTTAATAATTGCATGACCTCTATTCGAAAATTCAATTTCTCATTCGGAGTGAGCGTATCTAAACTTGCTTGTAATGATCTAAAAAAGGCCATGTCATCAGTTTCTTGTGGTTGACTTTGTATAGCTAATGCTGGCTGTCTGTTATGGGAATCAATATAGCTTGCAAGTTTACTTTCTAAATCTGATTTCTTTCTTCTATAGAGAGTACTTCTACTAGGAGTTCGTCCAGTTTCCATTTGGCTGTCGAACTGAGTATGTTGGACATCTGATGAAGTACTTTGCATGTCATTTATGTCCTTTGAAACATCCATATCTTCTTGGCCCTCTCTTGGTGTACTTGGTAGTGAGCTCTCTGTCTGACGGGAACCAGTCACCTTTCGTAAAAATCCTAATTGTTTAGCATAGATGTACGTTTTTACAGCTTTAGCAGACGCTCCTGATTTTTTTCCCTTAGACTGTCGAATGGTACGAACATAAGCATCCCTCAGACTTTTCCATTTAAGTTGAACTTCTCTACCTAAAAAGGAAAAACAGATAACATGTTAGATACCTAAATGTAATTTTTTTTTTAAAAAATGTGTTTCTCATACGAGCCTTGACATCTATGTATATGTCGTACATCCCAATAATATAAAGTAAAGGTTTTAGATGCACTACAAATAATGAGAGACCTAAAATTTGTTGACAATTATTCGTATTCTTTGCATTTAACTAAGCCGAAACCCCGAAACATAGGAGATTGGCCATGATATTACTATTATAAGTAACTGTATCGTTATACTAAATGGCAGTTTTGTTTTACAGGTATTTAGGTTCAGGATGTACCTATACAGAGCTGCACTACAGCTACAGATTAGGGGTCACAACGGCAAGTCTTCCAATTCCAAGAGTTTGCGTTGCCCTATGGCGTACATTACAGGAAGAGTGCTTTCCTGTACCTACTGAACAACGTTGGCGCCAAATTGCCCAAGATTTTGCAGAACGTACCAATTTTCCTAACTGCATTGGCTCTATTGATGGTAAACATTGCAGGATAATCGCGCCTGCACATAGCGGATCACTGAATTATAATTACAAGAACTTTTTTTCCATTGTTCTATTAGCTATTGCCGACAGCAACTGTTGTTTTATATACATCGATGTCGGGTCCTATGGTAAGGAATCGGACTCCATGGTGTTTAGACAATGCTCCTTGTTTAGAAAATTGGAAGAAGATACCTTACATATCCCAAAACCTGAGAAAGTAGCAGAAACAACACTGCCATATGTACTCGTTGGGGATGAGGCGTTTGGACTAACAAATAACTTAATGCGACCTTATCCTGCAAAGAACTTAACAGAAAAAAGAAGAAATTTTAATTATCGCTTGTCTAGAGCAAGAGGGAAAGTAGAATGCTCCTTTGGAATTTTAACTAACAAATGGCGTATACTGCATCGACCGATGAATGTGATGGAGGAAGTCGCTGTATCCATCATCAAAGCTTGCTGTATATTACACAATTTTGTTCGTGTGAGGGATGGCATCAGATTTGAGGATACTTTGACATAATGATAGAGCAGAACCAGAAGGACGTGGACGTAAGTCTGCTTACAAATACAGAGATGCTTTCGCTGACTATTTTAGCAGTCCAGCAGGGGCTGTGCCATGGCAAAACACCAACATATGATTTAAACAAAATAGTAAGTGTATGTATTAAAGTAATTAACATGAAATGCTTACCAATTTCCTGCCTTTCTTTTTCATCTCTTTCCCCAAATTTTTGGATAACAATTTCGCACACTTCCTTCCAATCGTCTCTTTTAAGCTGTCTGTTTTTGTAGTCTCCTGACGATGAATCCCACAAAGATGGTCGTTTTTCTATTGCGTCGATGAATAGTTCGACATCCAGATGTTCCATTGTAGCACACGTCTTCAGTCTTTAGACAACACCCACCAACTGAGAATGAGTTCCTATCATAGCATCAGCGACAATAAACGCGTTGAATAAAAGCGTAAATTCCATTCAACGTACTTACAAAACGCCTGTCGCCACGCGTTCTCAAATTCCAGGCGACCAAATTTGAGAACGCCGCGACACGGGCATCGAGCGGCTCACCGTCGTTGATGCATAAATGGCTACATACAAGACAATGCGTTGAGAAAACGACGCGTTTTTTGTCGCCACGCGACAGGCGACAAAAAACGCGTGCATAAAAGCGGGCTTAGTGTACGGCCAGACTGAATTGCGGGCGGGCGTGAAGCGGGCGATAAGCGAGCGAGCGATTTTTTGCAAGGCGATTTTTTGGCCATACTAAAAATAGAAAATCGCAGATTAGTTGTGTTCTGTCGCCAGTAAACATGGCGCCCTTATCAAAACTAAAAAGAAATATTTTAATAGACAGTAACCCCTATATGAAGTGGAAATTATTTTTGGAGAAGTCTCGTAGATATGGAATACATCCTATTAATAAAAGGAGAAAAAAATTTGGAGAATTTCACCAGCTATACGTCGAATTAAGAGAATACCCGGAAAAATTCTTTGAATACTTAAGAATGTCCATAAGCACATATGATTTTTTATTAAGTAAGGATAATAGGAGGCTTACGAAAATTACGACACATTATCGATCTCCTATATCAGCAGAAGAAAGACTGGTAGTAACATTAAGGTAAGAATATATTCTTTTTATATATAATGATGAAATGCTAGTTATAGAAATAAAAGTTTTTATTTAATTTTATTATAACAGGCTAATTAACAAAATTTTCTAACAAAAACTACATTATATAATATTATACGTTAAATATGAACCTGGGTCGTTACTGCAGCCTGCTTGGTTTTCCAAGTTACCAGTTTCCAAAAGCGGAATTTGTAAAATCTGCTGCTACTGCTCTGGCAGTTTTTTTTCTTTTTCTTCAAAATTAATGACATTATATCCGACTTAATTTCTAGTTTTTCAAATTCTGTGAAATCAGCCATATGGGGCAATAGACTTTTAAAGAACAGTAAATCGGCGTTATCATTGTCTTTCGCTTCGTTTTGCCACATTTCAATTTTTTTAGTTTCTAAACTTAAAAATTCTTCTTGGATGTCTTTTTTGGTCCTTTTACGTACTTGAGAAATTGAGCTGCTTCTAGATGGTGTTCGTAGCGGCACTGATGAGGGTGAAGAAGGTTGTGAATGTAGATCGCTGGCTTCATTGTTTTCATTATTTTCAACGGAATGAAGTTCTTCGATTTCAGTTGAATCTTCATTGCAAGAAATCAAATTCCCCTGTGTAGGGGAAGGAGTAACAAAATCTTTTAAAAAATACATTTGTTCAAAATACTGCCACTTTGGTCTTACAGGTGGTGCACTGGCTCCCGATCTGGGAATGGGTATTTTTTTCACCTCCTTTCTGAACTGATCTTTTAAATTTTTCCACCTGTTTTTGGCATCCGTAACTAAAAAGAAAATATAATTTAATACACTATTATAGCTAATTTACGATTTTTATATTTACAACACTTTTGGTGATATTTATACTTATTTATAGTTTTTTTAGGTATTTGGCAACGGGTTTATCGTTCAGATCGTTAGCATTTGCTTTTCGAATGGGAAAATCTACAGTAAGCAACATAGCTTTCGAAACCTGCCAAATTATTTGGGAAGAACTAGTGGAAGAATTTATGCCAATTCCAACTGAGAACTGTTTAAAGAAAGTTATAGCTGACTACTTTAATCGATGGAAATTTCCAAATTGTTTCGGTTCGATAGATGGAAAACACTGTCAAATAAGATGTCCACCAAATTCTGGATCTCATTATTTTAATTATCTACACTATTTCTCAGTCGTGCTACAAGCTGTAGCAGATGCGGACAAAAAATTTTTAACCATTGCAGTTGGAGGCCGTGGTAAACAAAGTGACGGTGGAACATTTGCAGGATCAACGATATTCAATTTGTTAGAAAGTAATTTGTTTAATGTCCCTCGTCCTACTAATTTACCGAACACAAATATAGAATTGCCACATTTTTTAATAGGTGACGAAGCGTACCCTCTAAAATCATATTTAATGAGGCCTTATCCGAGACGCGGACTTAATCCCAAAAAAGAATACTTTAACAAATGCCTCTCCACTGATAGAAAATGTATCGAGTGTGCTTTTGGAATACTGTGTGCCAAATGGCGTTTTTTAAATAAAGACATAGAAACACTGCCTGACAAAGCTTGCATACTTATTAAGTGCGCTTGCATCCTGCATAATTTAGTAAGAGACAAAGATGGCGACAGTGATCTCCACTATCGTCACATATCAGAGCAATATCAGGAAAATAATCAACCTGCCTTTAATGGAAGAAGGAATAATCGAGGGAGTTCAAGAGCAATTGAAATTCGAGAACAACTTGCTGACTACTTATTCCACTTGCGAACTTAATTACACATCTACTATGTATTAAATAATTATGTGATTGTGTGTGTAATTAAATAATTATATACGTTCATATTGATAAGTATAATATAGACCAGAAACATCCTCAGGAGTACAATGGAATAAATTATCAAAAACGCGTTCCCAATTTTCTGTATATTCTAAAGCTTTAAACAGATATTTTATATAGACTTGTTTAGGTAGAATTTTTTTCAACAATATTACAGATGACTCACATATACGTTCATGATATTCACCCGTGAATAACTCAGTAATGCAATTGACAGCGGCAACACATTCTAGAGCAGCGTCAAATAAGCGTTTTGGTTGAAACACCTGTGAAAAACAAAAAAACTTCAGTTTTCAATTATAGAATAATGACCCCATGGTAGGGTATCAGTTGAATTATTAATCAAATAGCGCTTATCATCAAATGGGTTCAATGCAATTTTAGTTTTTGATTTTTAACTACATTGTATTTGACACCTTTTGACTTTTTAATGCATGTGGTTCCTTCAATTAGGTACGAATACATTTTCGATCTTAATCCAACGAAATGTGTCATTAAACGACCTTTTGTTTCGTCTTTCATCAAACCAGGAACTTTCTTATTGACCAACGGTATTCCATAAATATTTTCCTTAGCATAGTCACTTGTGTAAAATTTTTCAATATCTTTTTTAATCACTTCCTGATAAACATCATCACAATGTATGTGATAGCAATACGAATCAGTATCAGTACAGAGAATCTTACGATCATTACTGTTGAATTTTTGTAGCATATAACCATAGTGAAACTCATACATGTAAGTTTTGGAAATTTCTAAAATAGCTACACCAACATATATGGGTCTGTTGAATACAATATTAGTTTTATTCATTTCAATAGCCATGAAATCTTCATCAAAAATTGCACGACTATGAAATGCAGGATTTGATAATACATTTTTTGCACCATAACGGCCCGCCCAGCTAGAAACCAACTTTACTATACGATGTTTGCGCAAATTTTCCAAAGTTTTTCCAAACGTGGCAATTAATTTGTACAAGTTCTGCTCAAACTTTGATGTTGCAACAGTCCGCAACTTAGTGTTCAACTAAATATAAGACTTAAGCCAAGCGCTTTGTTTGAATTTCAACACGCGATGAATTTTAGTTAGCTGAAGTCAAAATTTTATGGCTTGCTTTAAATTACGATAATGTATAATGTATTTGTTTTTGTCATACATTGTTGTCATTAATTTTGGTAGCTTCGACCCTGGTGGAACACGATGCTCAGGACATAAGGAATGATCTTTATGCATATCATGGAGATGTTGAGGATATTTCAAAACGACCTCTAATATAGAACCTTCAGGCGAATCATCAGGAATGAAGGTAACGTCAATATTAGCATCTGTCCACTCAAAACCGTCATAGGGTAGATACTCCTGCATGGCACTAGCGTACAACGCATTGACGTCCAGATAAAGCAGATAAGATGAGGGTTTCTTTGGGTCATAATTCTGAAGGTATTTATTATTAGCTTCAGCATATCTATTGCCACATTGACTATCACCTCCACGAATGCCCTCCTCTAAGAATAAAGGTATATCGACATTTTGAATGATACTCAATTGACACTTAGTATATTTTAACATACAATTCCATGTATATCCTGGTATTGTGTAATATCAAGCTGGGTCTAATCCGTATGTATCATGAGCTTTATGTCGAAAATTTTCAAAAACATCAGTTAACAGCATTATATCAGTCTTTAAATATAAATCAGAATATTCACCAATATCCTTAAGCTTAAAATGAGTGAACACTTTTTGCGCATGTGCATAATCATCATCTGAAATATCACAATCATTTAGTGCTTTAATATCAGGAAGAGTAGTTTCTTTCAATTTCTCATACGAATCTATATAATCATAACAAAATACACCCTTACGCATAACAAGTTTCAAAGAATGATCATCATCAAAATTACTAAATTACTTTTTTAAATTTTTAAATTTATCCGCAGTAAGCGTTGATGATAATTCATCTAAAGATGCCCCTAAAAATCGAGACGAATCTATAAACCGAAATTGAGTAAAGCTTATATATTTTTCCTTGTTAACTGGTAAACACGTTACTTTGTTACGCTTCGCTAAATGGGGTGTTATAAAGTGACTATCATACCCTGAAAGGTTATGGAACACCACCGGTATGGAATAGTTCTTTTTAAAATTGAGGTTACACTGCTCATGCGCAAAGCCTCTCTGTTCCCCGGTATAATGATCATGATCAACTACGATTTTATCCGTAGATTTGAAACTATTTTCACAGATATGGCAACAAGTTCTACCCATAGACGGATTCACAACGATTGGAATGATATTTTTATTTTTCGATTGAATAAACTTTGCTAATTCGTCCATCTGATTTTCAAACCAAACCATGCAATCTTCACCTCTGTACTATTTGTAAAAAGATAAGGTATCATCATAGTTACACTTAAAATAATATGCTGCACTGAAAGGAACATGTTTCTGATATTTTTGAGTTTTTGAAAAATTTTGTGTGTCAGTGAATGGTTTTAATATAGACTCAAAATCAGCATACACGATAAACGGTAGTTTTTGTTTGGTAATGAAATTCTTGAATTGTATAAGCTTTTCTGAGGAAAATGAAATCCTACAGTTATTTCGCTTAACGCAATATTCATCATGTTGAACTAGCTGCTCATCGGTTGAAAAATAATTGAGACATCTATCGCAAATAACTTTTTTCCCATGGTGCTTACTTGTCTGTGATGAAACTAGACGGGATACATTTTTTATCCAACAATAATGATATGTAATAGGAGTATCGTCGTAGTAGATTTACATGTTTTGTCCTTTTATTTTTACATAATCGTGCTGGTGAGGTAACATAGTTATTTTTGCTTGTTAATTCTAAGATGAAAATATTGACTGAAATGTCATTATTTTTTTCGAATCTTGTAATGTCAGCTAATGATACAGGTGTTTCAATACCATCTAAATTAAATATGCCCGAGCTGTAATGTGGATAAGAAGAGGTTCTGTCAGCATGCACGGCTACCGGATATAAGGCGGATATTATTGCCCAAAGAAAGCATGCGTTATCATCATAATTTTTTACGTTAACGCAAGCATTTTTAATTGCAATCTGTTGAGGAAGTCTGATATAGGATGATCCAGCATTATTGCTAAAGCCAGATTGATTAATATCCACTTCTAAATGTATTATTTTACTACGCGCGAAACCGCTATCTTTTTCACTAAATTCCTGCAGTTTATTAAAAATTTTTTCGATAACGAACTCAGCAAACCATTCGGTGAGGGTAGCACCGCAATCGATAATTTCATTTTTCGTATTCAAATATTTCAATTCTGATCTTTCTTCTTCCTCATTTACTGCTTTTTTAATAAATTCCCCGCAAAATACCGTGTTGACTTTGATCATCGGACATGTTTTTAAAATGTTTGTTATACGAGATTTAAATAGAAAAAATGCATCATTTAAAAACTGAACTATATCTTTGTGTTTCAAATTGATAATGACTCCAGTACGAACTCTACTGGAAAATGCCGACTGAACATCCTCCCATTTTAGTCTATCGCTATTTTCGAAAACATCACAAAGCAGCAAAACATCAGTTTTCAAGTATAATTCAGCGTATTCCTGAAGATTTTTGATATTAAATGCTTGCCAAACATTCAGTGCATGCTGATAGTCATCATTCGAAATAGCTTCGTTTTTGACAGTACTAAAAAAATCATCTTTTTGTGGTAACCGTGTCTCCTTTAATTTCTCCCACGAATTTAGATATTCATATGGAAAAACTCCTTTCCTTATTACCAACTCAAACCTATTATCGTCAGGAAAATGTTCCTTGACTGTTTTCTTTTGATGATGATCTAGATATGAGGATAACTAAACCTATTCATTGCCTGTTTTGCTAGCACCTTATCGGCCAAGTGACGATTACTCAGGCCTGTTTCTTTTGAGTAAAATATATAGTGTTGTTTACAAGCTTCATCCAATCCGTTCAAACCTGGGTCATTTCTGGCTAACCTTTCATCAAGCTTAGTGCCAGGATCACAGTAATTGTACGTTGAGATGTGTAATTCTACAGGTAAATTATTTATAGCTGTATTGAGTAAGCCTTCACCACCACCATACTACTTCATAGCACATGAGTGGCAACTGGAATGGTGAGTTTAATCGTGGACGTTACTAGTTATAATACTCTCGTTGCTTAATGCTGTTGTTGATTGATACGCTGCTAGTGATTAGTGGTGTCCATCAACAAGTAATGCCTTCATATATTTGCGTTTCATGCTGGAAAAATACTTCGTTCACCATACAAGTGACTCCTCAATACACCAATATACGACAAAGAAAAATGCAATATTGTTCGGTTTGTGACCGGTTGACAATTTGGCTGTTAAATGAAGAATAATAACATTCATCACCCTCCCCTTTCCGTATAGTATAAAAAAGAAAAAATCAGATGAAGGTATCATTCTAAGGAAGAACACCGCGATGAACTTTTCTACACTAACAACGTGTTATCAAAATGAACCAGTTGTAGTTGCAGATCAGATATTCAACATTGAAGACGGAGTTTTCTATCTGTATGAATTATATAATTATGGAATCACGGAATTAAAGTCGTATCCAGCATTTTATTACTCAGGAAGAGAATTATCCATAGGCACAGAAATTGAAACTCACAACAATCAAACAATTGGATATGTAATTGGACAAGATCTGAACTATTATCCAGTCACAATGAAGCGAAAAGGCACAATTATGTACTGTGGACAATACAATATAAGGCAGTTGCTACGACAGGAATACGTTATTTTCCAAAGAAAAACATACTCTACCAACAGTTTTAAACATATGTACATTCAAGCATTTCGGCACTTCAGATATACATTGCTTTATATATGATTGAATACGTTAAGATACATACTATTTTTTTTTTAACTCCAATGCAATATCACACGACCGCTGTCGTTTCATTTCTTCCCTCGCACATATGACTATTATCTCATGACATGAAGGATGGTCGTCGTCGTCATCGGTCGCAATTAGACCAGGCTAGGCTAGGCTAGGCGAGGCTCCTCTCATGCATATGTATCCGTACAAATTTCTTACTACCAAAGATAGGCTAGGCGAGAGACTACTCTCTCATGCATAATTATATATCACGATTACACACTTTTCTCACTCACTACTTTCTCCATTTCTGCGGGTCACATGGTATTCGGCCTTTTTGGCATACGTGACATCATGGGGGTGGATCACGTGGTCTGTCACGTGGTCTTTGGGCCTTTCTGACCTGTTTGGGAGGGGTGGGGTGGCTGAGGCAGGTTGGCAGAGTGAGTTAGAACCGATGTTGTTTAACTACTGATCAA